CTTTTGGAAAAGTTCTGAGTCAAGTCATTGGCGCTAATCACGCCCATGATTCATGATTGTGTCGTGGAGTTGGACTAACCACGATAATCACTCGAAAGGGCTGCATATATAAATGAAGTACATGAGCCTCATATAAACATTTATATGCTAGTACTAGCTATGAAAGTTAACATATGGCTCGTGTCCTCTATGAATGAACTTTGTAGATCAAGCATATCGGCACAATTGGACATATCCATTGATTTAATTAATTTAATTTATTTGACCCGTATAGTCTATCTCATCTTATAATTGATCACAATGTCCTATGTAGATAATCTCAACTAATCAAATGTAAATAAACTGTCAGTATATGAGTTGAAATAAGTTTTTGCAGTAACTGTTGAAATAACTCCCCTAGTTTTGTTATGAATACGTTTAGATTCTACATACGAAGAGCAAAAGCACACGTGCATATTGTGATTATTTTTTAAAAAAAATCTCAATTTACTAATACTTGATGGATTGGTCAACACCGTAAAATATTTAAAGGAAATAATTGGGAACAAAAATTATCAGATTGATATACATATTGAAGCGAGCCAACATGACTCGGACAAATGAATCACAATTACGGACGCTTGGCACTTAAGAAACATCAAATTTAAAAGTATGCAAGACAAAAAAGAAAAAAAGTAAAAACAAAAGGAGACGCGCTAGCAGCTTCGCATCAGCTACTTACCAACTCCTAAAGCTATTAATGCAAAGTACTATGGATTTTCATTTTATCAATCCAATAAATAAAATTTACTATTTTGAAAGCATTGACATTCTCGATTCTATATAAATAAATAGCTCTCCACTGCATATGGTGAAGCACGAACATAGTACACACAAAACACCATAAAACACAACATTAAAATTTGGAAATGTTTCTCTTTTTGAGGATGCACAAAACTATTGCTTGCATAACTATATGGAAGAATTCTGTAAAACAGAGCATTAAAATTTGGCTTTCATCCCTTAAATTTCCATGAACTTGCAAATGTGCCTTTTATTCTCTCAAGTGCAACTTATCCTTTGTCCCTTTGTAATTTGGAAACACAAGAATAAAACCAACATTAATTATGGATTTGTGCATTTTAATCTCTATTCATCGTATGAAGTTCGGATCGCTTCGACGTATCTATTTGTCGTCAATAAATGTTATCTTGACCTTTTGCGCCGAGCTGATATCACCAAAAAATTCAAATATAATTCTTGGTTGGGCAAGCAAACTTCTTATTGTTATCGTATTCCAATAGTAAATAATATTTTCATGGAACATTTTAAAGTTTTAGAATAATTGACAAGCTTCAAAAACAAAAGTACTCTAAGTAATCACACAAGACGGCAACCATTTAGGGGTGGGTGTTCACTTATAAATCACTCCACAAGGTCTCTCCCAACCGATGTACATGGTATTTAAAGAATGTGAGACCACATATGTGAAATAAACTGTGCTAGAACCTAACTCTATTACCAAGTTAGAAACCCTGTAAACTAATGGGGATAGTAATAATAAAAATGAAAGAGGATGGGTTTTAAAACTCACTAGTGTGTTTGTTTCACGGAAAAGCAATGACTTGTAAATATTTATGTAGAAATAATTACTAGCGGTAGTTAAAAAATAAATCAACGGAAGATATCTTCATCATCAACCACAATCATTGCCTAATCATTTTCGTTATCATAATAATGTTTCTTATTAATTCATTTTTGTAAGCGATATAAGCGATTATTTTTAGAATAATATTTCAAATTTGTGATTTTTGGGGAAATAAACACAACCTATATATCCAGATAATTCATATTGATATATCCAACATTAACAGCTCCAGTGACGACAACAGGATGATCAGCCAATAAATATAGGTCTGCAGGGCACAAATGAGAAAAGAAAATAGCAATAATACAATGAAAGATGTCAAGTTTTGAAGCTTCGCATCAGAGACACGCACAAGACCATGACACCAACATTTACACGTATCCCATCTGATGTCTCGTGGGGAGAAGCTCGATCATTTTTGGGATCATTTTCGTGTACGCGTGGATGAGAGAGAGTAAGTTGAGAGAAGAGAGGAGGGTTGGATAGTGAGTTAACATGGAGATTAATCGCTGTCTCTAAGATGATTAAATACAATTTGACACATGGTATTTACCAATAAATTTAGCCCTTGAAGGAAATTAGATGTGGATTTACAAAAAGTGGAAGGAAAAATAACTTCCACCATATTTCTCTTTCCATCAACTACTATGACCCTGAAAGGAAATTAGACGTGAATTTGCAAAAAAAAAAATGGACGGAAAGAAACTTCCAATTCAGTGACTATTAACGGTTGGATTACTACATTACGAATATCAAATTATACATGTTATAAAGTTGTTTTATGGTGTTTTGGATGGATTTCCTCAAATTACTGGTGAATTTTTTATCTGGTGGTGATTAATATTACCGGATAAAGTTACTCCACACTTAAAGAAAATTCCAATTCGTTTTTCAAATCCGTGTTAGGACAAGGGTCCAGCTGACCTAGCATTGACCCAATTTTTGGAGTATTGGCCAAGTGCTTTATGAGAAAGAGAAGAAATTAGTCTAGCGTTTTGTCGGGTAAAGAGAAATCGAGTTACTGGGCCGACTCGCTTTTCCATCATCTTCACATTGCTTTTGCATTAGGGGTAAAGAGAAATCGAGTTACTGGGCCGACTCTCTTTTTCATCATCTTCACACTGCTTTTGCATTAAAGAAGCATAAGTTAAGTCGAGGTCTTGGCACTTACTCTCTATAATGAACATCCTTGTCAGAAAGGTAAAGCATTTCCCAGCTTTTATAGCAGGTGGCCAAGACGACTTGGGAGAAATTTGGGTCAAAGCTATAATGGACGTCCCTATCCAAAAGGTAAAGCATTTCACAACTTTTATTGCAAGTGACCAAAATGACTTGCTCAAATTATACGAGAGTCCCTACATGATGAAGCAGGCGTTCAAACATTCAACAAAATATAGGTTTGGTGAAAAAAATTAGAACATGATATAATGAATCCAACTGTATGTTCAACTTATGGATTTACAGGTTTTGGGTATTCTATGTGATTGATTTGTTCATTCTATTTCGATGTATTTGATTAAAAATTTAATGAAGTTATACAACATCTTTGGTTGGTAATTTTTATAGATCAAGCAATTATGCTAACAAGTAATGGGTTGCCGAGCAAAGTTGCAAACTCCCAAAATAACTATTCAAGCAGTAATAATTTGGAAGGTTAATTTTACTTACGAATCACTGTTAAACCGAAATCACGGCAAAGAATCCAATTGTATTTTGCAGACTTCACTAATTATTTCCTTGAGCCATAGAGGTGACACTAATCGAGACCCCATTTGAACATCCAGAGCAATGCCCATACGAAATGATCAAGACCTTAAGGAGAAAGCCATCATATCGTGCAACCCAATGGTTTTGCTTCTGTCTTGGCATGACGGTTAAAAATATTTTTATCTAATACTAGTAAAGTATCCGGGTGTTTAAGACTATGTTTTTTATAAACTATTAATCAATTTTGCATTCATCGATATTTCTAGTAATTATAAGTTATACCGAATGTAGGTCTGTATTGTCTCGATCGCTTTATCAAATTGATCAAAATTGCCTTATTTTTCGTTCAATGAGTCCAAACAAATACCGATTTATTTGATATTTCTTGGCAAAACAACACTTGCACCAAAAATTAACGACATCAAACCTTAGCTATTTCTCTCTCTTTTTGCGAAGTAATTCCTGGGCACCTTTTTTCCGTTGATTGGCTAATAATAATTTTTTCTCATTTTATAATCTCGATCTTTCTCTTTTGGAGAAGTTGTGGGTCAAGTTGACGACGATAATCACGTGTTTCGTGGAATTGGCCCCCGGCAGACTTGACTTTGCCCATGGTTGTTATGTGGAGTTGGTACAATCGTGGTAATCATGGAAACGTATTACCCACATATCATGAGCAAGTATTTTGTGAACGCAATACATATGTTAAATTGTATCTGGGCCATCCGATCTCATGGAATGCATTATCTTTAGCAGTCCAGATTCAATTTATATATATATACACACACACACTAAACTCATATAATAGTGTCTCATAATCCACAAAATATTACCAATAAAAAGTGGACTTGGGAGGTGTCCATATTGGGGGGAAGTGGAAACTGACGGGGTGCTTGGAAGAAAGACGCCTCGCTCAAGATTAAATCCACCTTATGTCGTGACACGATGTTTAAAAAGATTTTCATCAAATACTAACAAGTATTCGAGCGTTGCCCAAATTTAAGACTATATTCTTTTATATTAGTCTATACAATGATAATTAATTTATTTTGGGTTTATTCATGCTATAATTAATTATGAGATTTACCGAACGTTGATCTGCATTGTCTTGATCGCTTTATCAAATTCATGGAAATTGTCTTTTTTTTTCCCTTCAATAAGTCCAAGTAAGTACCCATTTATTCGATAGTTCTTAGAAAAATAACACTTGCTGAAAATTAACAACATCATCTATCTCGACTTTTTTTTTTCTTTTTGTGACGCGATATTAGGGCACATGTTTTTCTTTTATAGCTTTGATGAAATCAAATGGTAACTTTTTATCTTTTTTGATTTGCTAACAATCATTTTTATCATTTTGTAATATTCATTTTATAATCTTATCTTTCTCTTTTGGAGAAGTTCCGGGTCAAGTCACCGGCGATAATCACGTGTTCCGGGGAATTGGCCCTAGCAGACTCGACTTTGCCCACGGTTGTTTCGTGGAGTTGGCCCAACCGTGATGACCACTCAAAGGGGAAAGACTCTGCACATATAAATGAAGGAGATGACCCTCGTAAGTTTGCACAAGGTGAAGCAGAAGAAACAGATAAACGCACAAAACACCATATAGATAAACATGAAGTTTCTTTTACTGTGTACGTGGACTTGGGTGTTGCTGGTATCGATGGGGAGTGGAAGAAGCATGGGGTGCTTGGAAGAAGAGAGGAATGCACTGCTTGACATTGACGCCGCCCTCTCCCCCCCCAATGGGTCTTCTATTCTCTCGTGGCGCAACAACGATAGTGACTGTTGTCGCTGGAAAAGCGTGGAGTGCGATAACACCACTTTGCGAGTGACTGGACTATATCTGGGCGGATCACGCCGTTGGAAATGGAGAGTGTCGTACTGGGAACAGTCCGAAAGTAATTGGGAAGGGTCGAGCCAGAAAGAATGGTCTACCCGGTCCGAAAGTTATTGGGAAGGGTTGGGCCGGAAAAGAGAAGGGTCTCGTGGTTTGGTTATTGATGCCTCTTTATTCCTTCCTCTGGAGGAACTTCAAGTGTTGGATTTAAGTCAGCATTCTCTCTTAGGTGAATCTCTCTCTCTCACAGTAATTTGTTTGTTTTTTCCTTTTCTCTAAATATGTTCAAAATAATCGTTTACTCACCGTGTTTGAACTCTCAGGTGAATCTCTCTCTCTCTGTTATTTGTTTCATTTTTCTTCTTTCAATTATGTTTCTAAGTAATAGTTTGCTTTTGGACAACGAAAAAATGTCAGACTATGGTGCTATAAACTATAAAAGTGAATTAAGTGAATTAATGACAAACACATGATTGCACAAATGATGCAATTCTTAAAATAGTTGATTGCACATATCATGAATTAATTACGAGACTCATTTCCATGGCGATGATAAGTACGAAGAACGAAATTAGAATTAGCTCTATAAGCAATTATTTATCAAATTCCGACTTTTCTTTATCAAAAAAGGGGTGGACTTGCTAGAATTTTTCACTCCAACAATTTTGCACTTGTTTGGAAGTGGACCAAAATCTACTTAATATTGAGGAGCTTGTGACTTTCTCTCACGATTCAAAATAAGAAAAAGAAAATCAAGTTTATCATTCTACATATTAATAATTACATTTTTGTAAAGGTTTTGAGTGTTTTACGATAAATAAAAGTCAAATTACGAGTGCCATAAGGTTTGCAAAAAATAAAAAATCACGAAAAGTAGATTGGCAGAGGGGATTAATTTAGAGGGATGAGAAAGGATCTTAAAGGGAGTGTAATGGTAGGACAGAGGGAAAGAAACGGACCGGAAAAAAAAAGATTAGATCATATCAAGTGGAATTGTATGTGTAGCTATGTGTTTTTTAAATCCCCCATATAAAGGGATTTGGAGGGATTGAGGGGACTAATACTTTTATCAAACAATTGTTTTTTCTTTCTCACATTTACCTTTGATGTATTACAAATACATCAAATTATATATACATAAAAGTACAGTGACAATCATCATTTATTTTATTCTCTCTCCTGATCATTCCTTTCTCTAGTATCCAAATAATATTATAGCTTATTTCCTTTATTTCCTTTTTCTTCTTTTCTCTTATAATTATTTGCATTTCTTATTTTCTACTTTGGTTACATCTTCCGACATCTATATTTATCTGGATGCATGGTTCCAAAATCCCAAGCCGCTCTAACCACGCATCCAGACATGCAAGAAAATCAGAATACCCTTCAATGCTTTCCAAGTCAACCTTTAGTCTATTTAGATAGGGAAACTCACACATAAGGCGATTGATTAGATTTATGATCAATACATATACTTAAGAAGAGAAGCAAGAAATTTCATTATAAATCAAGTAATATAATTGAGATGAGATTAAAAGGATAGTGTTTTTTCTGCTCCCTTTTTTGCTAATACACTCCTTATAATGGTGGATGGATCATATTATCCTTGATGGATCCAACTTGTTTACAGATTATATACACACATAAATGATTAAAGTGGGGCCCAATTTTTCCACGCTCTCTGTGTCTCAGATTCTCTCTCTCATTCTTTTCACTTCGTTGCGCTTCTCTTGAATGTATCCAAATTTGAGAAGAAGAAAATAGAATCGAAGCATAATCGAAGCATAGGGGATGAAGTACTCCCAAATGAGTAAACAAGCACTCTCTCCCCAATCAGCTTTTCAAATTTTCATCACCACTAGGCGATGTGTCGTCATCGCCACCTACCGTTGCTTGCCCGCCTAACTTGGTTGATGAAGCCCTGCCTCTGTTCGAGCCACACGATGTCGGCGACCTAGCACTTGGCCTCTAAGCTCGACAAGGCCACCCCAGAGCCCTCCTTGCACCCAACCCCCACCTCTCTCTTCCACTTTCCCGTCATTATGGCAACTCCCCCGCCAGGGTTCAACGGTTGCTGTCGACCTAAAAACCTCAATTGCGGCTGTTGCTGGCCCCTTTTGACCTCAGATCAAGTCGAGCCTTAGATCTCAGATCTAGAGCTCGGTTGACCTCAGATCTAGAATGTGAGGCTCGATTGTGCCGCGATGGCTCTAGCGGAAGTCGGAGGCGAGGGTGTTGACCTAGAGTAGAGGTCTCTATCACCGTCCGCATCTGCCATTAATTCTTTCTAATCTACTCTGGAATTCATTGATGTCTTCGGAGAGCTCCCCAATCTCTTTATCCGTTCTCAAGATGGAGTTGTTATCATCTTGCAGCCAATTTCTGGGTCATCTTGTCCTCCGTCACCTGGATGATCCTTTCATCTTTAGATGCCACCGCAAGAGAATTGATCCACGGGATGTCGCCGGAAAGCTTCTTCCCAAACTCCGAGAACGCCTTGTCCAGGAATGGCAAATTCAAGACAGCTTCCACCGGCATTGTTTTGTCAGGCTAGCACCTTTATGGTTTCTTTTTTTTTGGGTCAAACCTTTATGGTTTCCACCACCCGCCTCTTGTGCACTTCCTCGAGCTCCGCTTTCTCTTTGTCGTCCATTGCATCGACCATACATCCTAAGTTCTTGACATGCTGCTTCGCCATCTCTTCGGCTTCAGAATGTCCTCTTTTTCCCCATCTTGCTTCGCTTATGTCGAGTATACTACTTCAATTTCTCTTACTTTTCCAGCATTATTGTTGGTGGTGACGTTATAACGCAAAAGACTCACCCTGAACAGACTCCCTCCGTCCCTCCCTTCTCCCCACCCCCTCTATGTATGTATCTTCTACCATCACACGAGCTCTGCGACCCTTAAGCTGCCGTCGCCCGCCCGACTCTCTCTCTCTCTCTCTCTCTCTCTCTCTCTCTCTCTCTCTCTCTCTCCGGGCGTGTGGCCAAATGGGGCCATGAAGAAAGCCGCAACCCCAAATCTGGGGTTGCTCGAGGCTGGGCCGCTGTTTTGCATGAGGTAGTGACCTCGCGCAAGCAAGCCCAATGTCTGCCATATTTTAACAAATTTTCACCTAGGCTCAATGTCTGCCATATTACAATCGCTTTGCTATTACCTAGACTTTTCGCTAATACCTGAAAAATTTTCTGCTACTCTCCCACATTCTTTATGGGCTCCTTGACCGCTACCGATGTCTTCCAAGTATAAGCTGCACTTGATTTTCTCCATTACCAGGAAGCTTATCAGAACATCAATTCTACTTGCACTTTTATCTATTCTACAAGAATTTCCATATTCAATCTCATCTATCACAGATAAAGCAAAAGCAATATTCATCCACACTTGTCAAAAGATTGAACTCATATCTAGCGGCAACTACATCAATTGTGTAACGACCCGGTCCGACGAGGGCGGGGAGTGGTCGCCGGGGCCAGAGGGCCTGGACAAGGAGCGGCTCCTGGCAGGCTTCTAGGATGGCAAGAGGGGCATGTCTCTTGTCCCACATCGCCTAGGGGGGGGAGTCCTGGGCTAGTTTATAAGGGCTTGGGAAGCCTTAACTTGCAAGAGGCCTTTTCTGGGGGTAGTATGGGCTGCCCTCGGAGGAACAAAACCGTGAGGACTTAGTGTCCAAAGCGGACAATATCTTGCGAGTGGGATCCAGGTCGTTACAAATGGTATCAGAGCCGACTCCCGACCGCGTGTGGGGCCACAGCGGGGACGTTGTGCCCAAAGGGGGGAGAATGTAATGACCCGGTCCGACGAGGGCGGGGAGTGGTCGCCGGGGCCAGAGGGCCTGGACAAGGAGCGTCTCCTGGCAGGCTTCTAGGATGGCAAGGGGGGCATGTCTCTTGTCCCACATCGCCTAGGGGGGGAGTCCTAGGCTAGTTTATAAGGGCTTGGGAAGCCTTAACTTGCAAGAGGCCTTTTCTGGGGGTAGTATGGGCTGCCCTCGGAGGAACAAAACCGTGAGGACTTAGTGTCCAAAGCGGACAATATCTTGCGAGTGGGACCCAGGTCGTTACAAATTGGCTCCGTAGGTTCTACCTCAATGGAAGCACCATTTAAGTCGATTATTGCACCAACACCTGCTATCTCAAGAGTTCTCGATGCAACTCCATTTTGAGCTTTACTGTCCATGTTCATATATGCATTACATATATGCATTACCAATAAAGCTCCTCATCACAAGCATATAGTTATTCTCAAAAAATTGAAGATGGTTGGAAATTTGATATCTGTAGATAATTTATTAACTATTGGGTATGCATGGATCTTTCCATAATCAGATTTAAATGAAACTCTACACCTGAAGCGATTGAAGAGGCTATATCTATCTTCTAATTATTTGGAACGAGTCCCCTCATGGGACAAGCAAACTTCAGTGGAGGCCCAAAATTTGTCTTCCATCCAGCTTGAAGGTACTTGTAAGATATAAAACCATGCCTTGATATTATATGGTTCAATTTTGAAAACCTTATGTCAATCACAAGTGTCAATCACAGGTGTGAATCTGGAGGTGCTGGATCTTTCGAATAACAAATTAGCCAATGATTCCCTTGCGGACATTACAAGGATGACATCTCTTAAGGCCTTATACATCAATGGTTGTGGATTGAATGCTTCAAAGTTTTTGGAAGGTAATTCTCTGAAAATGCTTTCAGTTATCACCTCTTCAAAATAAGATAAGGTGAGATAGTCTTGAACATAAAAGGCATGACTGCACTATATTCGATGTCCTCCAGAGATCATATTTTGGCCGCACAAATTCTTTAAATTACTAAGCGCCATGGACTTATATTTAGATAAGTGCTAATCACAAAAGCACATATAGCTGTTTGACCTATGCTTGAAGTTGGAAGGATTTAGTTAAATGCCTATGAAAGCCATAAGTAAATGTATGTCATGATTGTGGCATCCTTAAAAGTTGGATCAGTTTCAATTTAGTCCCTGCTCTTTGAAGATTGAAGTTTAGTCCCCATGCTTTTACTTTTACATAACTTTTTTTCTCGATCAATCTGAACAATAGTGTGATGCCATAACAGATACAAGGAGTTATTGCTAAAAAGATACAAATAGTCCAAAATAACAATATACTGTACGAGTTCAAAATTTGTCCAAGAATTACAATTATATGTAAAAGTTAATCTGGAATCAAAATCAAACAATATCTTAAGTTTACGGATTAGATTCAAATGGTGGTCAAACTTCTGCATGTGTCATTAGTAGAATTCATGCATTTCACAAATCTTTGATTTTTCATTTGTTGTAAAATTTTGTTTGATTGTCTTGATAGGAAAATATCCAAAATTAATTTTTTTTCCTTTAAAATATCCACTTAGAACGAATAATTTATGAAATTATTCTTTTAGTATGACAATTTTCATCTTTTACCCAGTTATGATTTTATATTTCTTCCTATTGAACTTGTCTCAAATTCCCGATTAGTATATTACACTGATATCAAGTTTTGCAATGGATTTTCCATGCGTCTCATTCATATATTAAAAGCATATATGCAAATCCAGTTTCTTCAACATTATCACTACCATCACTATGTATACGATTCATCAATAGTAGTGCCACATTTGTCTTGATATGTTTAGTATATTTTAGCTAGGGGAAACGATTGTCCTATTTAATGGTCGGGTTTGACTTACTACGTATATTACTTGTTTTGACATAGAGTGATCCTTGAATCCATCATCTGGTGCATCTAACCATTCTCTTAAATGCATGCAAAATATGATAACCAGAGATTATTTCGTAAATGGCTACTAGCTCCTCGTGGGAGTTTAATAGGGTTAGGCGGGAACAGAAGTGCCTTTCTCAAAACTCAAAAGAATAACTAATTGGTACATGAATACTACAACGTAAAAAAATTAAAGACACCATTTTCTTTTGAAAAAATGTTTTTAAATTATGTTTTTCCATGTATTGCTACCAATAAATGTCATATTTTCTCAATATTTGTTTAAATCAACTAAAAGTGCTATGTTTCTGGAAGAAGATGATGTAGGTATGATTTCTTAAATTATGCCAATCGGAGTAGATGTGAAATAAAAGAGGAGCTCACGTTTACTAAATTCTAATATTTATTTATTTAGTAAAATATCATAAATCAGGAGTTGAAAGACTCAGGAGTTGAAAGACTGATGAGGGGAAGAAAATGTTTCATAAGTTGTGGAAATATAGCAAAAAATTAAATTTCAAAAGACTTTTCCATTGATAATACTAAGCCGAGAACAAAGTTAATTAAATTCTATGGCATTTTTTCAGTATTTGTGAATTTTGCTTCCAATATTTTGGCTCAAGTTCTGTCTTCCAATCTATTGGATGCATCGATCAATAGACAAATAGAAAAACAAAAGCAAACTTAGTGATCTATGCAAAATCGTATCAAAGAAAGGAGGATGAAGATAAAAAGGAAAGCTGGGAACACAGCCCTTTCCTCTGAGGGACCAAAATGCCGTTTTCCTTTAACGGACTCAATTTACTGTATCTCCTTGCACCATTAAAGTTCTTCATTCGAAAAGAATGGACAAGATTTATGTTGAAAATATACACAATAATGTTGATGTCTGATTCTAGTATGCATCCCTTTCATTTGATGAAACGAGTACATTTTGTTTAGTTTAAACAAATTCAGCCATTTATCCATGAAAATACCTGCACCCTATACAAAAAGCTTCCATCTTCAACCTTTATATTACTTAATTAAATTAAAGTATGAGCTAGAGAGCATAACTCTTTATCAATTATTTAAAATTTTATTTGAATTGTGAGATAAAATGAAAAAGTTGTAGCACAACAAACTAATGCTCATGAACTATGTCATTATCAATATATTTGAAATTGTTTGATACCAAATTAAGTGAAAATTTTAAATTAGCTAAAAATTAAACACGATATTCCACAATAAGATTTAAATTTTAAAATATTTTATTCAGATATGTGTGTGTGTGCGGGTGTGTGTGTGTGTCTGTGTGTCTGTATACACACACACACATACACATGCACATATGCAAGTTTATATTACTATTAATTTTCCACACGCACATATGAATATTAACAAATAAAAAATCAACTGTTGCCAAATTAATTGAAAAGACTACCTATTATTATAAAAGGTCTATAGAATGAAAATGATATACGTTGTGAGGGTTTTATTACCCGTTTAGCCAAATATCATAAATGAATTACAGTAAGTGCATGATTATCGATGACTCTTTTGGTTAGAACATTACACCCGGTAAAAACAAACACTTGTATTTGGTATTATTCCTATAACCTTAAGTGGATAAGAACAAACCAAGTTGAATTAAGTATGGATACCGGTTTGATAAAGCACTTTTTCTATATTCAATAAATAAATGATATTAAAAGATCCATAAAATATAACCTGACTTTATAGCCCATATATAACAAACAAATGATTTAAAATGATCTAAATAAGATTGATAACACATATTTCAGATACAGATGAAATCATCAAATTAATAATGAACTATCTATTAATACAAACAGTTTATTGAAGAAAAAGTTGATTTCAAAGGGCTCTATTTAACATGATAGTGCATGTATATGAATTATGAAATATAGAGGATAATTACAAAAAATTGTATAACATGATACCTTTAATTGTGAAAGAGTTGAATAATATATAGATAGGTTATTACCACCAAAAACCCCCAAACTAGTACGCTCGTGCCACATTTTACCCCAAATTAATTTTTTTGTCACAAAACCTCGTAAACTAGTATAGTGCCACATTTACCCCAAACTAGTATACTCGCTTAACTTTTATCCTAAACTAATTTTTATGTCACAAAAATCTCTAAACTAATATCTCAGTGCCACGTTCACCCCAAACTAGGGCACTGTACCACATTTAGCCCTAAAAAATTCTGGTTTTAACACAATTTAAGGTAAATGTAGCATGGGTATAATTGTGACGGGAGTGTACCGGTTTTGGATTTTTTATGACACAAAAATTAGTTTTGCTTAAATGTGACACGGGTGTACCAAATTACGATTTTTGGTGGTATTACCGTATATAGATAGCCTCTTTCTATCCTCCATCCTCGACATTAACTATGATCTCGAGTGTAAGCACAATTTAGTGATGATCCTCATAGTTACAATGTCCACTTTAACAGGCTTATGCAGATTGAGGAACCTTGAAGAGTTAGATATTAGTCGTAATGGATTTTGGGGTCCTCTTCCTTCATGCTTGTGCAATATGACCTCGCTCCGTGTGCTTGATGTTCACAATAACAATTTTAGTGAGGCCATTCCATCATCTCTCTTCTATAATCTCAAGTCACTTGAATATATTGAGCTCTCTGGAAATGCTTTTGAAGGCTTACTTTTTCTTGCTTCCCTGGCTAATAATTCTAACCTTGAGGTATTCCGCCTCATCGACAACCATAAACGACTGGAAGTAAATACAGAGGAGCCCACTTGGTTTCCTTCATTTCAACTGAAGATGTTTGGTTTATCAAACTGTGTGATCAACAAAGACGCAAATGGCCTAATTCCCAGCTTTCTGAAAGAACAGCATGACCTGAGAGGTGTTCAACTCAACCACAATGGAATGACAGGAAATTTTCCAAATTGGCTATTGGACAACAATGTATTTCTAAAACAGTTCGAACTCACAGGCAATAATTTGTCAGGTCCATTTCATTTGCCTTCCAATTTGAATCTTCTCAGCATGTGGTGGTTCGATGTGTCTGCTAATATTATTGAAGGAGAGCTTCCATCTCGAATTGGTTCTATCCTCCCGGATTTGAGATATTTGAACCTATCAAACAACTTATTGCAAGGTAGAATCCCTCCCTCAATTGGCAATATGAAAAAACTGGATGCATTGGATTTGTCGAATAATGGCTTCACAGGAGAAATACCAAAGACACTGGCTAAAGGTTGTGCATTACTTTCTACATTGAAACTGTCCAACAACAATTTGCAAGGCCAAATGCTACCAAGGTATACTAACTTGACAAACTTGAGATATTTGCATCTGGATAATAATCTTTTCACAGGAGACATATCGCCTGATATATTAAATAGCTCCTCCTTGATCATTTTGGATGCAAGTCATAATTTCCTATCCGGAACACTTCCCAATTGGATTGGAGATATTAGTAGTCATGCGCTTATCTTGTCGAGTAATTTATTCGAAGGTCCTTTACCATTGAGCTTTTGCAAGTTACTGTATTTCGATTATTTGGACCTTTCAAGTAACAACCTTGGGCCAAATATACCCCCTTGTGTCAATTTTACACTTACTTTGAGGTTCTTGCATTTAACTAATGACACGCTTGCTGGGCAGTTTCCTAAGTTTCTTTCTAGAGCTTCAAATATGGTCACATTGGATCTTAGACACAATGCATTGTCAGGTGAGATCCCTAGCTGGATCGGTTCGCTTCACAAGTTGAAGGTTCTTCTATTGCAAGGAAACAATTTTGAAGGTTCAATCCCTTTGGATCTATGTCTATTGAAAAACATGAGCATATTAGATCTCTCCAATAATAATCTTTCTGGAAATATTCATTCTTGTTTGAACGATTTGACGTTCGGAAGCTTTGGGAATCCTATGTCCAGATCTTCTTACATGGTAAGCTGGGAAGAGGCATGGGAATCACACTACAAGGTCGATTACCGTTTATTGTATCTTCGAAAAGAAGATGACACATATACTTATACGAATGGATTAGAAGAAGTGAACTTCATGACAAAGAGAAGGTTGGAATCTTATATGGGCAATATTCTAAAACTCATGTCGGGAATGGATCTCTCGCAGAACAATTTGACGGGGTATATTCCTCCAGAAGTCGGCTACTTGAGTGAACTTCTCTCATTGAACCTGTCACACAATCATTTGACGGGACCGATCCCGGAAAAATTTTCCAATTTGAAGAATGTAGAGAGCTTGGACCTCTCCTACAACAACTTAACTGGTCCCATCCCTCCACAACTAATAGAGCTTTACGCGCTGTCAGATTTTAGTGTGGCTCACAATAACTTATCAGGCAAGACACCAGATCAAAAAAATCAATTTGGAACTTTTCGGGAAGCAAGTTATGAAGGTAATCCTCTTCTTTGTGGACCACCATTAACAAGTTGTCATGGCTCAAATCAGAAACGGGAGACACTGCCATCTTTTAATTATACCAGAGAGGACGATTCCTGGAGAGAAGCCTTCTTGTGGAGTTTTGCAGGATCATATGTAGTGGCGTTCTTTGGGGTGATTCTTTTTCTCCATCTAAACTCGCACTATTGGTACGTGCTATTCGGGCTCGTTCGTAAGTTTATCCCATCATTTTCCCAGTAGATAATGTTCTTCTAAGCATTTTGTGATGAAATAATACGATGAACGGTGGAGAACTTTTGTTTAATAGGATTGTAAGCATTTTGAGTCTCGATTATGCATTTTGAATGCTTGACTCCTATAGTGTTTGTATTGTATTCCTTGTCATGCTAATTTGAATATTAGGAGATTTGATCTGGTTGAGAATTCAGAAACGACAGTTTATTTACAACCAAAATCAATCCAGCATTCATAAATTTTTGTAAATGTTACGCCAAATGTGAATCATCTGATGGCTGCAACCGGCAACACCAAACCAACCAGGTTTTACTGTTTCAAGAATCCTACTAACATAAAGTATTGGGCACTGCAAATTTCTCCAATTTGAGGATAAAGGCATGGATTGTAGCTAGGATGACAGCAATATCCCAATTGCTGAACCACTGGTCTTCAACTTGAGCCCCACCTTTGTGATTTACTTGATGAAGAACTTGTCGCAATCCTCCCTCATGGCTCCCTTGAGGGGAGCGGGTTTAGTGATATGTCCAACGGGAACGAGCAGTCCCTCTATTCGAGGTGCTTGCTCTCGTTCAACGAGACTGCGTTTGATTGTCTAGATTTTTAATTAGTGTAGGACTAAATAAGACAGGATATGAAATTCAAGGAATTTGTTATATCCTATCTACTATTTAGTGAATTACTGTAATAAAGTTGGGTATTTTCATATCTTACGATGTACGTATTTTCAATGAATGTCATATCGGTATAAATGAACCTAAAAATTGCACAAACGGAGATAATAAAAATCTCTCATGACACTCTTATCCATTTAATTTTTATTTGCTTCTTTTTTATTATTTTTCCCTCTCTTTTATAATTCTTTCCTTTTTTATTTCTTTTTTCCCCTTCCATCATTTTCTAATAAATTTTTATTAAATAGTAAACTACACTAATATACCTAAAATATATAATAAATATAAATACTAAATGTATTTATTTATATAGATATGAAATTTTTATTAAACAAGATAGGACTGGATAAGATAGGATAAGAAATCTTGGGATTTGTTCATATCCTATCCACTGTTTGGTGGACTACGGATTTAAAGTCGGATAGGATAATTTTTTTTTTTTGCTATTCACGGGTCCGGAGGAGTCGGTGAAGGAAAAAAAGCCAAGAAATTTTTTTGGTGAAAGCGCACAAGGTGTGGGGATGAAGGTGATGGCGAGTGGAGCGTACGGTTTCTGAAAAAATAGGCATTAGAAATCCTATCCAGGTCTATCTCACTTCCTTCGGATTTTTTTATCCGGGCTATATCCGGTTTATATCCGACCTTATCCTATCCTGGACCACAACCAAATACAGGATAGGATAAAACATATCATATCCTGGCTTTTATCCGGTCGACCAAACGCAGCCTAAGAGTTCTCCAAAATCTTACGGTGCATGACGTTGGATGATTCAGTTTTGATTAAACGATGAGATCTTATCTAATTTGGAGTCCTCACTAGCCTATTTGAGCCAAATAGGAAAAAAGCTAGAAAAATCCAAGTTCGGTGACTTGATTATACTAACATTTAATTAGCGTTATTTTGGTACCTAACTCATTTTAATGCAAAAAACGTGAATTACGCGGTCTTTTCGTTTTAAGTCGCTAGGTATGTTCTATTTAAATGTCTTATGATGGTTATTGGCGAAAGCATTTTTCAATCAATCATACGAGTCAATAATCATAACAAACCAATCATAATAAAAGACACATGCCAAACGAGATAAAGCACAAAAGAATAGATTATGAAAGCAAAATGCGAAAAAACATACATGGACTTGTTATGAGCCCGGGGTTAAAAATTCCGCTAGCTAAACTTAAAACCTTATATTACTCAAACACATAAAGAACGACAAAATATAAAGCACAGTAAATGAACATGATATGCGTCGAGCAAATAATATAAATAACTTTGTCATTTGAGCTCCGGGATATGAACCCGTGAGCAAGTTCCGAAGTCCGAGTCAAAATCTTATTGTAGCTAAAGAAAAACTACCTTATAAAAGATAATCACCAAGCGAAACTCAAAAACGAAAATACAGAAGGCATGCTGCATGATTTTCGGAACAACGAACCAGAAAAGCCAAATCCGATTATAAGTGTACCTTTTATGCGTCCACCACCAAAAAACAGTAGAGAACTCAAACGAAGCTGGTTAATTAACGATATATCATCTTACAGAACTAACGAACCAGAAAATCCAAATCCAAACTCTCTTGAATGCTCCGATTCGCATTCACCTTCTCTCCCTTGCGAAACAAATCCGGTGTACATGAATTCGAGGCGAGAGGCGAGATGTCAACATGTACAGGAGCAAGCAGATGTTCAAAGCTTGACGCCAATATAGAGAATGACCGAGATTGGACTGGCCTCATGCGTGATGGTTCTCGACCAGCAAGCAACAAATCGGGAATCATATCTTAGGATCGATGCGTCAAATAATAACCATGAAAATCGCACTAGAATACTCTCAGATTGACTGATAACAGAAGCAAATCAATACTGGAAGTCAGTTGGGCAAAACATCGAACACCTGATGAACATGAAATTCGAAGTGCTCGGGACAGAACATTCAACAAACCATCGGTGAGGAGTATAAAGCGAGGTGTTCATTTAAACATTATCAGAGACAAAATCGACGAATCGGAGGACAGGCAATAAACGATCATGCAGTGAAACATGCTCAGCTGAAGCCAAAACAGAGCATAGAAGAGGGATACGTTGCCAGAGCCGTCTCTGGTCGAGATTGATGATCGCCTGAAGGAAAGAGATCGGAATGGACAGTAACGCCGGGACCTAGAACCGTCAGAGGGAGGAATAGACCTAGATTGAATACTTCGGCAGCAGCGATGATTTTGAAAAAGGAGCGAACGGAGCCTCTTCACGGCGGCGAAACTGGTGGCGATCAGGCGGCTACCGGTGGTTGTGAGTGACGCTACCGGGAAGGAATGAAGATGCAGAATCTTTTGGAAACCGATTCTGCGAGAGAGAATTTTAACTTTTTATTATATATTTCTTCTGAAAGGAAATAATTTTTTTTTGAAGGTTATATGCCTCCGCAAATATGTCAACTCCAAGATATGACCATACTGGATCTCTCGAATAATTATTTTTTTGGAGAAATTTCATCTTATTTGGAAGAGCTTGACATTCGGAAGTTATGAGATGCTGGGGAGGCGGTCCCATGATGAGAGCCAAACCCCAGATACAATTTCTTTAAATTGGTCAGGTGCGAGACATCCGGAAACGTGTCCTTTTGCAACTTAGACAGCCCTAATTCGATAAGACTTTCAGGAAGCCTTGATATTGAGCATATTTTCGCTGACGTCAACCTCAAGATCCTCAAGCGGTTGCAATTGCCGATGTTCACATGGACTTCACAAGAGCTTGTACATGCGGCAACTACTTCTTCGAGCGTGTCCATCGTCCAGAGGACATCGGGTATTTTGCTCATCGTACCCATATCCACTTTTTTCAAATTTCCCAACTTTCCAATTGAATTAGGTAATTCTTTGATCGCCCTGCTAGATATATCCAACTTGACCAGTGATGTCAAACCTTCGAATGAATCCGGAAGCCTCTCCAACCTATCGCACGATGCTAGAGATAAGTATTCCAGGCTTTCAAGATGTCTACCCAGGTCGTCTGGAAGCCTTTGAAGATTCGGACAATGCCCTAGGTCTAAGGAAACTAGGCGATTCAACCGACAAATCGACCCATCGATTTCAACTAATCTTCGACAGTAACGTAGGCTCAAACGTTCTAAATTCGCAAGAGCAGAGAAATTGGGGGTTCTCTCCAAATTATCGCAACCTGATAGATTTAGAATTTTCAAATTCCTCATCACCTGAAAAGGAAAAATCATGCAAAGATTACTTTCAAGTTTAATAAAAAGAAATAACAAGCGTTGTCTAGCATATAACATACCTCCATGGAGCTCCACCCCTTCTAATCATGCGTAATTTCGCTATAGGATAGATCAAGAATGACCACATCCTCCATAGAGAAATGTGTAATATTAAAATTTGTGGGAATATTATGCCAGGAGAGCCATCGTAATTTTGTAAGGAGAGATGAATTCTCTAGAAAATCATGAGTTTGAAGAACATTTGATGACAATTCGAGCCAAAGAAGCCTCTCGTCTGCAAGGAACATTTGATTTGATTGTCCCGTAGAGCCTTCATAGGTCAAATGTTCCTGCCCCCCACCGTCAAACCGGTTACGTAGCCCTGAAGGATCAATCTTAAGAGCTTCTTTTGCACGAAAATTGTTCTTGGAACCTTTCACTTCAAGGAACCTCAGATTTGATAGGTTCTCAAAGCCCTCATAGGTAATAGGATACCGCGGCTGATGCTGTAAGTTGAGACGCAGAACTTCCGCTTCTTTTGGTCCCTGCCCGAAGGAAAAGTTTAAAAACAAGAAAGTGGGAATCGCATTTACTCAAGTCCACTATTGGAAGAGGTTGAGCGATGTACTATTATTCCTCTAATCTTAAAAGAGCAAAAATATAGGTTGAGGAAGTCATGGACTCATAATGGTGCCAGACAACGCAAAAAGTAACTTTTGACAACAAAAAGAAATGCATAAATACTGGGAATATATATTGAGGGGGATTTTACCTTATATTTAGTCAGCAAATCCAATCCTTGCTTAGGATCCCACGCCCTAGTTTGCTTCTCTATTTTCTCTTCACTTTTGTCTAAAACCATTTTTCTTCCAAGGTTTCTGAGCTGATCATGCATCCACACTTCGTTATCCTCATTAATCTTTATCAAACACATGTTCCGCAAAACTTTCAAGTTTACTTCCGTTGGATATTCATGTTCATTCCAGAAATGAACTAGAATATCTGTGTCATATCCACTGAAAAAACAAGCTATATCGAGAAATATATCCTTTTGTTTTGGACTTAATCGATCATAACTTATTTTCAACTTACCCATAAGCTCATCATTGGGAACACTTTCTAGCATCTTCAACGTGCCATCCCACTCTTTCTTATCAATTCCAAATAAAAGTCCACCAACGACCTCAAGAGCGAGCGGAAGACCTCCAGCAATTTCTATTGCCCTTTCTGAAAACTTGATATCTTTGTTTAAAGGTGAATCTCTTCTGAAGGCATGTTTGCTAAAAAGTTGAAGAGATTGATCCCCATCCATGTATGGAAGGTCATACCTCCAGTCCACTTCCGAAAAATTGAGAACGCCTTCCATTCTGGTAGTAATAATAATTTTGCTCCCTCTGCCTAACCAATCACGGTCACTTGCAAGTGCAAGTGCATTAATATGATCCGTTTGCTCCACATCATCGAGGAGGAGGAGGACTCTTTCCTGAGACAACTTCTGTCTAATCATTTGAGCTCCTTTTTTGTCGTCTCTTATATCGTATTCCGTTTTGACGATGTCAGAGATGAGCTGCTTCTGCAAGCATTGAATGCCATTATTTTTTGATGTTTCTTGAATATTGCCAAGAAAGCAACACTTCTCAAAGTCGCACAATAACTTATTGAAGATGATTTTCGCAACAGTCGTCTTTCCGATGCCACTCATCCCGTAAATTCCTATAATCCTCGTTTCACTTGTCCCGACATCTATATTTTTCATGATTTCATCCACACGGTTGTCAACAGGGACGAAGTAGTCTGATACTTCCAGAGAAGCGTTTTCCAACTCCTTGCAAATCTCCCGCGTGAATTTTTTCACGAACTCACCTTCTCGCCTAGTGCATGTTGGTCGTGGGAAAGTACAATGAGTTAGAAAACTGAGTTGAAACAAACTATGTTCTCACAAGACCACATTGAAAACTACAGACCTATTCTATACGTGTTCTTCAACGATTTATTCCAATTAGAGGAAGTAGCAGTGGAACGTAGGTTTAATGAATGACCTGAACTAACGAAAAAATGTTGCTGGGAATGAAATGAAAAAAAATTGGGATTGTGCCATCATCTAGTGTGATTTTGCGGTATAACTTCAATTGCATACAATTCGATTTCCACAAGACTAACGCAAATCTAGAAAAGAAACCAATTCAAATGCATCGAGTTTAATGATACAAGGCACAAGAGACGGAATGCTAAAAGCAGTCACCTGTTGACCACGTTTTGTAGGCTGTGTCCGTTTATATCCGCCACTGCTTTGAGAGCATCCCTCCACCCTCCGATGGTCTTTTGGTCAAATCGCTGCTTTTTTTCGTGTTCAAGAAAGGCCTCTTTATAATCCCCTCTTTGGTGCCTAACGTCTGCAGGCTCCACATGATAAAAAATAGGGATGATCTTTTGTCCCCGATTCTTCTTGCCCTCAACCATCTTGGCTACCTCCTTGAGACACCATGGGCTAGAGGCATAATTTTTGGAGAAGATAGGTATTAAAATCTTCGACTGCTCAATTGCTTGGAGAAGATTTAAGGCAAACTCTTCCCCTTTGCGGAGACATTCATCGTCCTTAAATGTGTGGACTTTTGCTTGCAAAAGTTCCTGGTAAAGGTGGTCGGTAAAATTGTCTCGAGTATCTAGTCCTCTGAAGCTCAAGAATACTTCATGGTCAATTTTTGACGGAGTATCCATTTCAGGTACTCCAGTTGAAGTGTGACTATCGGGATCGCCACTTGCAATTCCATCGTTTGCAGCTGCATCCCTATTTGCTCCTGATGAAGAAGCCATTTCACGTACTCCTGATGAAGTGTGAGTACCAGAATCCCCTCCTGCTGTTCCATGGCTTGCAGGTGCATCCATAGCTGGTCCTGATGAAGTAGCCATTTCTGGTACTCCTGTTGAAGTGCGAGTACCAGGATCGCCTCTTGTTGTTCCATCGTTTGTAGCTGCATCCTTATTCGCTCCTGATGGAGTAGCCACTTCAGCTACTCCGGTTGAAGTGTGAGCAGAAGAAGCGCATCCTGCTGTTCCATCGTTTGCAGCTGCATCCATAGCTGGTCCTGATGAAGTAGCCATTTCAGGAACTACTGTTGAAGGGCGAGTTCCAGAATGGCCTCTTGCTGTTCCATCGTTTGCAGCCGCATCCATATTTGCTTCTGATGAAGAAGCCATTTCACGTACTTCCGATGAAGTGTGAGTACCAGAATTGCCTCCTGCAGTTCCATGGCTTGCAGCTGCATCCATAGCTGGTCCTGATGAAGTATCCATTTCAGGAACTACTGTTGAAGTGCGAGTTCCAGAATGGCCTCTTGCTGTTCCATCGTTTGCAGTCGCATCCGTATTTGCTCCTGATGAAGAAGCCATTTCACGTACTGCCGATGAAGTGTGAGTACCAGAATTGCCTCCTGCAGTTCCATGGCTTGCAGCTGCATCCATAGCTGGTCCTGATGAAGTATCCATTTCAGGTACTCCTGTTGAAGTGCGAGTACCAGAATCGCCTCCTGTTGTTCCGTTGCTTGCAGCTGCATCCTTATTTGCTCCTGATGGAGTAGGCACTTCAGGTACTCCTGTTGAAGTGTGAGTAGAAGAAGCGCCTCCTGCTGTTCCATCGTTTGCAGCTGCATTGTCATTTGCCTCCCGTCCATTGATCTCCCTTGATCTTCTTCTCTTCAAGAAAAAATGGAATAGCACAGCAGCAAGAGCAGTGGTAGCAAGAGATGGAACAAGTTTGGGAGCCATGATTACAAGTGTATGAGCACGAGAATTACAAATGGAGATGATCTCTGTGGGTTATTAAACGTACAAGACAGGATTTGGCTAAATTTGCAGAGAGTGGAGGGCCAGTTTGCTAGAATTGGTCAACAAGATTGATCTAGTATAGCCTGTCAAAGTTGAAAAAGGCAGTGTTTTTAACACCAACAGTGGCCCCTGCCCACTCAAATTCTTCTCTTGTATCTCCACCAGTAATAACCCAATCGGCAAAAAAAGATAAATACAATTGCGGGGTAAATAAACTAGTGGAATTCAGAAAAGATGGGAGCAATTGACTACTTTCGGGTAAAAAAAATCATCAGTTAAATTTTCTGACAACACCACGTCGCTATGAATGTCCACGCGCTTGCCCGCAACGCGCCTTTTGCTTGTACATAATTGTAATGTCACTTTCGGGGTTGGGGTGTCGAGTCGGGGCCATTTTGGGGAAAATAGCCCCTTGTCTGGTCATATGAGTTGTTGTTCATCAATTCGATGTCTATTTTGCTGCTGTCGAATTACTCCAATGCCTCCATAGTAGGAAGATCTTTTTGTTTTAATTAATGTCAAGTTGGTCGAGCGTGTAATTTATAATTTATGACATAAATTTTGATTGATGACATGTGATGTAATCGTAATTTATTATAAAAAAATAAGGCTAGTAGCGGTTTGCTTTATTCTTCCTTTGCCTTTTTTCGAGAAACTCTTTTGCCTCATCAAAATATTAGAATAGGTCTATATCTACATCATCAGGAACTTCTTAAAAAGATGGCCAGCAACCGTTGCCGGTGTTTTCATGATAGTAATTTACTCAAGGCATAGTTAAAAATTTCAAAGGAGTTGGTACTTCATTGGAACGTGGGTAAATACTTTATAGCATTCAAATTATTAGAATGCTGGTAAATTACTGATAGTGGTAATAATCAACTTATTACATTGGCACAATTCGAGAGGAGTTGCTAATTTACTATTTCATTAAATGTTGCTAAATTTTGAACAAAAATGGTGATAGTGCCTCTTCGCTTATTAATCATTTCTATTTTTGGGAAGTATCACGGTCAATCCAATAACGGCGATTTTTATTCCTGATAATGGTGGTAAATTATTTAGTGAATTGCTATTTCATTGGACTTTGATAAGTTCTTAATATTGCTAGTAATTTACTTATGGTAATGATAAAATTTCACGGGGGTTGGTAATCTACTACTTCATCGGAATGTAGACAAAATTCTAAAAGTTTCAGTAATGCATCATGGGAATTTTTCCCACTTTTTTAGTGTGTAGAATTTGGCCCTACTCAGAGCATGGGTTTCACCGCTTCAAATTTTATACAAGAAACAATTTACAAGGATCTTGAATAAATCACCACTTAGTAAAATTGGAAATTGCAAACCTATGTGAAATGAGTTTCCTACTTACTAAATAATCCAATTCAGTTATGAGATGAATTAGCCTTTGTATCGAGTGTTGATAAAATTAAGATCAAACTGTGCTGAGTCTTACTTCAATAGAAAAAACCGAAGGCACTCTCTATAGATAATTAAACTTAGAAGGCAGAATTGGCTAAGCATGTGGAGAATCGTGGGCCAGTTTGCTACGATTCATTGCAACATCACTCCAGCCTATGAAAGTTAACAAGTGCACTTTCTTTAGCACCTAAAGCATAAAATAAGAATTGTCACTAAAATAATAAGGTTGGATTCTGCCAAATTATTAAACGCTTAATGCATAACATAAAGTTCATCATGGATTCCAAGATGCTTCCTTAAATGATGGAGAGCGAGTGCTTACAAAATAAACGTGCGCATCTTCTTCTTCTTCTTCTTTTTTAACAAGATTGAAAAGAGTATCCACATATTGCTAGCTATTAAGATAAAAAGTGTCATCAAGTAAAATCTGTTATGTGAAACGGTGAAAGTATGTTATTTTACAAGTGCTCACAATGTCAACGCGCACATCACAGGCTTGATGACTAGAAGCACAAAAACATTTCTTGGAGACCTGAACCGCCATTCCCGGCGAAACTCTTGCTTTTAGCGTGCTTCTGGGTTGTCGGCAAGACTTTAGTCAAAGGAAGCCCCGCAAGGGAAAAAGAAAACAGGAGGATGCATTTCGGTGCCAAGAAAACATTCATGATTGCTCCTTTCGGATTAGCCCCTTCTTTTTCCAAACTCTTTTCATAGTTGAATTCTTTAAAAATCCTCGTTGAGATTTTAATATAACTGTTACTATTTTCACTTTTATTTTGGGTTACAATCACCCTAGAAAAAAAAAGGCCTGATACCGATAAACCTCACATTTTAGCTAATATCTCGATTTTACCTTTTATCTCGTAAAAATCCTCTAACTTTAAGTCTAGCCCTAATTTCATCATGAACTTCTTTTTATCTCATAACAAAAATAAAGATCGCAAAAATTTACTGAATGTTTAGTATAGCTAGCTAGTATTAGTTGTCCCATAAAAATCAAAATAAAAACAAAAACTAATGATCGCAAAAAATTTCGTTAGATCTGGAGGAGCAAAAATGTTCCCCTTATGAAAATCATAAATCCATAGATCTTTCAAGACGATCCGAGTTTGACGAGAAAATTTTTGCGTTAAAGTTATTAATCAGGATGACTTGATGAAAAGACCTTCGTCAAGGATCAAATTCTTTGAGTTGAGACAAATAAAAGATCAAATTTATCTTCCAATTACTTTAGCTTTGATCGTACTTCACTTAACTTTTGTTTTAGTAATTGAAAGTCTGAAAATCTCGTTGCAGATTTTTGAAATCATACGTCTTCCATTTGAATTGAAATTGAGCTTCCTTCGTTAGCTAATGGCTAGTTAGTAGCACGATCTGGTTCACAACTTCCACATACATCTTCAATTATGTTGGCGCATATAGTGGCCAAAACAAAAACAATGCTTTCCGTCTTTGCCTGTTAGACAAATAGATAACATTTAGGACGTCAATAGAACTTCTTTCAACCATAGAAGTTTTAGAATTCTAATTCCACAGCATTTGCCAATGCTTCTTCCCTATCTGTATAATACCGATAATCACCTAATTAGTCTTTTAGATTACTATCATTCTAAAAACTACTTTTATTTCAAATATATTGTGTTTATCTCTACATTTTGAATTCAATAATTTTAAGTTTTACTTGTATTATCTATATTTTATAGGATGAGTGTGGCAATAGTAACTAGTAAGGGTGTTCATACTAGGGAAGTCTCGTCCCTTCAAAGAAAAAGCTGTGCTCGGAGCTATATTGGTATGGGGCAGAAAGGGAAAAAAAAATCTTGCTAATGTTGATAAGAAGAGCTCATTGTTTTAAGGATGACAAGTCTTTCTTTAATGGCTTGATTTATTGAATTAATCCAGCTAGCAACCAGAACCGCACCCAATAATTCAAACTTATAAAGCTAAGATATAATTAGTCCTTATCTTTTGTCAGAGAGTGGTTGGAGGTCTTTGTCAGTTTAATTATTGATGTCTTTGAATCTGTCGAAGTCTGTTGTCTTATGTACTTCCTAACGCCTTTATAAAGGCCGTGTATCATTCAGTTTGAAATAAGAGGGAAGTTCAGAAAAATCTCTCTATCGTTCATCTTTTCTCTTCCAAACCATTTTTATCTTCACAAGACTAATATATCATCCTCTAAGAAAAGCAGCTCGATAGGTAAAAAAATACTGAACCCTCATGGTAATTTATTTGTTTCTATATTCCGAACTAAATCTCTGGGTAGCTTGGAGGCTAAAAAGCAATCCCTTTTAGGGCTTGAACAAGAGGTTCGTCCACCATGGGATAGCATACCTGCTCTCCAAATTGACCTGGTCCTCACTGGTTCCGAACATAGCCACACATAATATATCATATTAAAATTTTTGGTGGTATTAATCCTTTCATAACTCTATATATTCACTTGCTAAATGTTAAATTAAGATTGGGTCATTTAGCATACTGATTAAAATTACTCGTTAATAAGCTGGATTCCTTTGTCAAACTTCAAATAATGGAGAGCGCACACGTCTTTTTAAATAAATCTGGAAAAAAAAAAATCCATCACTATTAGCATAAAACCATTTCTTGGGAGGTCAACCATCATTCACGGCGAAACTGACCCCAAGGATTCGAGGGAAAAATCTCGTCGAAAGTAAAGTGATAATGGAAAAGGTCTATAGCAATAAAGCAAAGAAAAAAAAAGACGGGATCCCGCCAATGTGGAAAAGTAGAGCCACCAATGCTTTAGCGTACACGTTTTGTGCTGTCCACGAGATTTTTAGTCAAAAGATAATAAATAAATAAATAAATAAAAAGCATGAGGATACATTTTTTTTTTTTTGGATCATATGAGGATACATTTCGGTGGCAAGAAAAAAAGTTCCTTATCTGCTCCTTCCTAGAAATTTCTAAAGTTACTGTCACTATCTTCACTTTTTTATCCTAACTACAGTCACCCAGCGGAAAGAAAAAAAGAAAAGTTGGCCCTAGGCCAGTGCCCAGGCATTGGCTCAACTCCTTATTGCTAATAGGCCTAGTCTGATACGACCCGTCACGGGCTCGAGCCCAAGAGGGCCGGTCTGTGCTTGGTCTGGGCCGGCATAGCCCAATTACCATTCTTAGGGTAGGGATTTGTCGATGTGCATGTTAAGGAGAAGGAAAATTCTGAAGTTCAAGTCTGTTGCAAACTTTGTTCGAAGCCAAAGAATGCAATGCATGAGTATAATGAGTCGAATTCAGATTTTGAGGGAAGAACAAAACTTCAATGTGCAATTGCTGGTGTAGTATAAATGCTAATAACGGTCTTGATAACGAATCGATAATATGTGATGTGATGTAAGACATCGAAGAAAAGAAAAAGATTTCCTAAAATTTGGAGTAGAATTAAGAATGTCATTATTGATTTTGTTTCTTTGGCAAGAGAAGAATGTTAGTTCACCGTTGTCATGAATGCAATATCTCCGAATGCCAAAAACTTCTCTTTTTGTTTAAGTATTTATTATCAGAAATAGAGAAAAATAACCGAGCTTATAGTTTTAAATTGACTGATCAGACTTATTGTTCCTCAAAGCTTATAAAGTATTATTTCTCTTTCATAAAAAAGAGTTCTTTT